CAGTCAACAACACAGTGCCCCCTCTCACCCCCCAGTGCGTGGGTGACGTCCTCCACCCGCCAAAGGCACGAGCATGACCACACCCACCTGGGGACAGTCAGCAACACAGTGTCCCCTCTCATTTCAGAGCCGAGCCCTGGAAGGGGACCCCAGTTACCATACTAGTGCTCAGGGATCCTTGCTGCCTTGCTGCTTCAGTGGTGCCCCCCCCCCCCAAAACAGCCACACAAGCTGCCAGCCTAATTTTCAGGAGGAAAATGTCCCCACGCATTAGCATCAGAGGCCAGGGCATCAAAATTAAGATGGAACATTGCTCAATACTAGAGAATTTAACACATTACTGTGGTCTCAGTCACCCCAGCAGATAATATCAGAGAATAATTGCGCTTAACAAAGACACAACCGTTAACCATAGAGAAAGAGGAACACGTGCAAACTAAGAATGGCCACACGTTGCTAACGAGGCCTTGGACTCTTGGGCACAGCCAGAGAGCCCTTTCAGAGCCCTAAAGCCGCCCCATCCTCGTGACTCCACTGCTCTGCAGGTCTTTCTCAGGCAGCCCCCACCTCTGTGTGCAGCTTCCTGTGCCCTAGGTAGGAGGAAGCCCCCCCCGGCAGGACAAAAGCATGATATACAGGCTAGAACACAAAATGATGATAGAAAGGCTCTCCGTCAATAACGTTAATTGGGGTCAGAACAATAAACGGCTGTTTCCACTCGTGTTGGCGAAGGTTCTTTTGGGGCTGTGATTTTTTTCCTAAACAAAGATGACAGATTAAGGCAATGGCCAATGCTTTTGTTTGGCTGGGCCATTTCTTTACCAGACCCGCTCCCACCCTCTTTTGGACAGATTCAAGACTCAAGTAGTGTATTTGTCACATGCAGAGTTATACGTGTACAACATGAAATGATATGTAGCCCTGAATCACTACTGAGACTGCGTAGATTTAAATAAAATAAATAAAAACAGATTTGAGAGACTAAACTAAAACTAAAAATTAAATCTAACAACCACATAGCAAATAAGTAATATGAACTACTCAAGTAATTTGGAATTAAAGTGACATTGTGCTTGTGCAGTGTGGGTACCACTGAGAGTGAGGCATGGTTGGGGAGCTTTATGACCTGTGGATAAAAGCTCCTGCTGGCCTGGAATAACACGCCAACCCCCCATGGACAGGACCCCCCGACTGCCCAGCAGTCACCTGGCCGTGTGCCTGAGGGTCCTGAATGTGCCCTGGGCTTCATTCCACAAAGGAGGGGTGTGACTGGACAGACAGGAGAAGAGCGCTTTCAGGAGAGAGAGCGGCCCCACAACCCTGCCCACAACAGACAACTACATGCAGGTGATTGGCCATAGTTGACCTTGATTAAGAATGTGCTGTGAAAAAGGCAGGTATTTGTGGTGGCAAACAGGCACATCTGTTTACTGCTCTTGTTATTGCCTTTGCCCGTTGCGTGGTGTTTAAAATGAAGGTGATAGGGGTGCTTGGAAATATGCCAAATTTCTGGCGTCTGGCTTGTGAGCACATAGCATGTTACCTTCAGGCTCACACAGGGAAATGCTCTCACACTTACCTGGATCGGAGGTGTCTTCTAATGAGCAAATGATTAAGATGGATCTAGTGCATTACCTCATCGAGTCTTCTGATGTCAGTGCCACTCAAACGATTGGTGGAAGATCACAAGCTCAGCCTAAAGCACCAATCCCCAAAGAGACTGCTGCCTGCTCGGACAAATCGTTTTCTTGAACGTTACAATCCTTCTGCTGAGGCTTTTTCCATAGCTTCGTGTCTACAAATCAATGCCTGGCCATTTGCTTCTTCCATGACTCTGCACAGTGCACAGAGTACTAGCAGCTAAGATCTGTAAGCCCTGGGGTTTGGGGAAGAGGGAAAGCTTCATCTTGCAAAATCACAACATTAAACAATCAGATAAGGCTGAAATCAAATATAAATAATGACATTACAGCACATAATTGTGGTTAACCATGATGCTATTCATAAAATATAATTCATCTGGACTCATTTAGAAAGAATGCTAAAATGGTTAGCAGAGCCTCCTTCTGCACTGGGAAATGTAAAACCAGCTAAATGGTGAAGGTTAAATGCCCAGTTCTACTTGTAAAGTGAGAAACCTTTATATTGTTTTATTCATCCAGCTCAGAGGGCATTTGGCATAAATCATGCAGTAGCAACTATTAAACAACCTTTAAAATGCACATATTGTTGCCACGAGAGGGACGGGGCGGGCCATTAATCGTCCCCATAATGTTTTAATTAAGAACAGAAACATTTCAGAGACTCTAAGACAGGCAGGCAGCCTGAAAACAGGAGCCGAAGTTCACGATGAAGTCCGTCCGGAAAGGAACGAAAGCGAAGGGAAAGCACCCGTTAGCTGCCGAAGACACCCACATGCCTTTGCGTTCTCCGCGCTCAGTAAATATTCAGTCCCAACACCTCTACGCAATCGTGTTTGATGACGGAAATCGCAGACGTGTTTTACGAAAAGCTCATTTAGGTTACAGGAGTGCCGGGTCCAAATTATAAAGGGTCTAAACAGCAAGTTCATCAAATGCGCGTTTAAAGTATTACTAACAGCCGACAAAGCGGCGCGGCGACACCCACGGAGTGGCTTGAATCGCTGCCTCTTTTACGGAGAAATTGACCAGCAATCGGACGTTTAAAAGCATCACCACTGAGAGTTAATCAGCATCGGTACTACCGTAAAACCGGTTTGACAGGAAAGTAGGTAGCGTCCCTAAAATCGCGATCCGAATCCATCTTATCATTGGTAACGACAGTAAACTGCAGTTTCTTCATTGAGGTTAAAACCGACAGGTAATAAGAGGCTCCCTGTACCATTAATGTAATTTCATTAATGTACACACGGTACAGTAAAAGATGGAGTGCTTTTATTGGTTATTATAGGATTCCTACATTATTATTGCTCTAAAAACTAACATTCATCTCAACACAGGAAATCAATTAATGGTATTACGACGTTATGACAACATAAAAATATATCAAGTAAGTAATTAAGTCAAATTCTGAAAATGAAGGTTTCTGTCACATCCAATTGTATAAGCAGATAGCTTAATTAAAATGCGAATAAACCAAATGCATTTAAATTAGCCTAATTGATAAAATTATGTGATCCATTTTAAGTTTCACTTTGAAGATGCCATGGCACCATAATCTGCGCAGGTTTCAGAGAATGTGTCTAGAAAAGGTGAATGGCAGACAATCTGAACCAAATGTGAAATCCTAGCTGACCAGGAGAAACGGAGTTAAAAAAAATGTATCAGAGAAAATTCAGCCGGCGCACCAACCCTGCGCAGTATTTAATTTAATTTAATATGATGCGACGGTTATGTTCCCGAATAAACGCGGATTTGTGTGTGTGTAATATATATATGCACACGTGCTTTTTTTTTCTTTTCAAAATAGTGTCAAACTCTCAATACATTATCATTCCGAATATTTGTGGTTTCAGTTCGTGCGGGCTACTGCAATAAACTATTATTTTGACACCAATATAAATAAATACATACATACATAAAAATAAATGTGACCCATATTTTGAAATACTTATTTTCCTGAAACTGACCAAGCACCTTAAACATTCCGAGGACATTCGAAAGGCAGCAGGTGAGAGGTTTGAAAGGCCGCGCACGGCACCGTGTCGATGCCCGGGTACGCGCGCGCTTAACGGGGGTGACTGACCCGAGCATCTCAATCAGGGATTTCTGATAATTTATCTCAGACTAACATCCACAAAGGAAATATTCCCATGCGGAATTTGATAGAAATTAATATTTGATTTAAACGAGTGAAGGTGTCACTTTCCTTCAGCGCGAACATCCTCTGCTGTAGTCTTATTCTTGTGGCCGATTATGGTTTAATAATTGCATTTACAGTGTGTAGACGTGCGTTGATGTGCCCTCTAAACTTTACAGCTTACGTAACTCACTCAGGACAACAGATAATCATTTGGGTAAAGCGGAATACCCTAATAGTATTTTAATTACATAAATATAAATTATCTAAATGATAAAATGTTCTAAATATTTCCGCTTGACAGCTGGACTGTACTTAAATCAATTATTTTCTTATATATGTAAATATGTTGTAATGTCCCACCGATAATTTGATATTAAAATAAACGATAGCGACAGAACAAACCACTTTAAAACTTTATTCTTGTTTCATCACATGCGAAAAATGATGGAGAAAAGCTTCTTCAGGAAGCACGCCCTGATCTTTTATTTATAATGGATACGGGGCAATCCCCAGCTCTGAACAGACTCATTAGCCGGGTGCCATGAATCCACACAGAACTGGGCGGCAAAAGGCGGCGCCCAGTTCCTCCTAACCTTCTGGCACCGGTGGACCCTGCGCGCTGGGCATGTTTCTTAAGCTACTAGCGGCTTGAATCGGAAAGAAATACTGGATATGTATCCAATCAATTTAAAAATATATTACCTATATAAACAAAAATATCCACAACAGTACATGGCAACATACATTTGTTTAATAAGGGTGTTGTTGTGTTTCACTTTCAACTGGATAAACAGCCTATACATGACAATTATTTCGCAACAGTAGGCAATCCTGTTACTATTGTTTTTGTATATTTGTTTACCTTCTTGATTCGTACATTGACAAATTAAATGAAAAATTGAATTCGTTTAAATTCAAATATTTACATGTTTTTGCTACGTTATTGCAAATATACACTGTTGGTTTTATTCCGGCGTTCAAAACACTGCCAACATAAATATAGAATTTTATCTGGTTAAAATCAATACGCTGACGATGAACCTGTAGTTAACAAGTTAAATTCTTTATGTTATTAGCATTTCAAAAACAAAGATAAGCTTCAGGCTATACCACCAAAAAGCCGCAGTTTGCATGACTAAATAAGACAAGCTGATCACATTTACCGTGATATATACAAATGTATTTGGCCAGTGTTTAACTATGTGACTAGCTGCCTCCTGCGCCTGGCTTCCTTTTTGTGCCTCTCTCAAACTGTCTTTTTCCTCACTTGATTTTCAAACCGAGAAGCCGTCCGCACACTTCCTCAAGCCGCTTTTTCCTAATACTTTCCTGCCCCTCTCTATTTATGAAAACGTCACTTCAGGTCCCTCCCTGTTTGAATCTCATTAGTTTCTTGTGTGTTTCTCCCTGTCAATAATCCCGAATCCAGACTCTCTCTATTTCCATCCCTCTCTATCTGTCAATCAGCGCCGCCTTTGAACTGAAAACCACTCCGACCAACTTCAACTCCCTCAATCCGAGCGCCTCGGCTCCGTCTCCGGCTCCTTTTTCTGCCAACATTTCCCTCTTTTTAGTTTCTACGAAGCGCCGCTCCTTGGAAAACGCTAATAGAGACCCTTAACTTCAGCTCGGATTCGGGATCGCCAAGATCAAGGGTTTAAAAACTTTGTGTTTTTGCCCCCAAAATCGGTCGGGAAGATGCCGCAGCTGAACGGCGGTGGAGGGGACGATCTGGGAGCGACCGACGAGATGATCTCCTTCAAAGACGAGGGCGAGCAGGAGGAGAAGATCTCGGAGATCTCTTCGGCTGAGAGGGATCTAGCAGATGTCAAATCTTCTCTCGTAAACGAATCAGAAACGAACCAGAACAGCTCGTCGGATTCGGAGGTGAGTGCGAATCCAAGTGGCTCTTTGGTCCGGCCCGGAAGGCCCCGGTTCGGTCCGCTTCGCCGCTTTTGTGCACTTTTTCTGTGTTAAACTTTGAAGCACGCCGTGGCCGTTCAGATGTGCCCGTGTCCTCCGTGTCCTTTAATGCAATCCCTGTGTCTCGTTGCATTTCAAGGCGGAAAGACGGCCTCCGCCTAGGTCGGAAACTTTCAGGGACAAAACACGGGAAAGTTTAGAGGAGGGTGAGTTTCTTTCTGCCTTTTTCTTCACACCGTGTCACGGACATTTAAAACGGCAAAGCAGCACACACGCAGCTTTTCGGGCGGCGGAAAAAGTTTTCAGGGTACTCACAAAAGTTTTCTTTCTTTTCCCCCCGCCATGTTAGCTGCGAAAAGGCAAGATGGAGGGCTGTTCAAGAGCCCACCGTACCCGGGCTACCCCTTTATAATGATCCCGGATCTTACGGGCCCGTACCTGCCGAACGGATCGCTGTCCCCGACGGCGCGCACAGTAAGTTACTGACGTACCGGGCGTCCGTTTGTGTGCATGTGGAGCCGCTCCGAGCGGCTGGAGGGGCTGCCTGCATACCGCCGCACACACCGCCCGGGTCGCACCGGTACCGAGCGAAACTTTCGTAACTTTCCCGGCGGCTCGGAGCGCGAGCCGGAGCTGCGCGTCGACGTGTGGCGCCTATGCCAGGTACCGCACCTTCTACAAATGAAGACGCACACACTGCATATTTATTCTACACATTATATGCCTTCCTGTTCTGTACAAGCGCACAAATTATTCTCTACCAAAAGCGAAATTAAATGAAAATAAAGCATGCTATGTTTATATTTAATTATATTACCCACACATGGCGTTTCACCGGAGGCATAAATTATTTTAGCATTAATACACGAATTAAAATATTCATTATTATAATGCAGTTTGTACCAGCGGGTAAACGCCGCTTGTTTTTATCGGTAAATATTGCAACAATTAATTCCTGACATTTTTTATAGTTATGAATTGCAGCTCTGTGGGCGACATCTTTTTTTTTTGTCGGCATAATGGTTAATAACAGTATTGTTCATATTTCTATTTAAATATTTTTTACTTATCTATTAATATTATGCTGAAGTAGCGGAAGTAAAACGCTCAGAAATTATATGTATAGTAGCCTAGTTCTTATTAAAATACTTTTGTAATGCCCCGGTTATTATTAATTCATATATAGGACCATATTTAAATAATAATCATCAAGAAATTACACAGGCAATCATAAACACGAAAGCACACCCGTTCAAAGATATTTAAAATAGTACTTAAATGTGCACGTGTATATGCGACCCGCTTATCAGTGGCCGTGATCGTTGGTGCAAAGTGAACACATTATTCCTCACTTAATACGCTGCCATTAAACGGCCCCTTTGGGACAGTATAGGGCACTTTGGGGCGGTTTTTGAGGCCCGCTTTACTCCGTTTTTTAGGTTTATTATTTCTTATTGTAATTTGACTGATGGGCACGTTATGAATGAACTGCAGGAAACGTAGAAACGCATTATGTGTGATACTGCGGCGTGACCAAACACCAAGGTACACTTATTTGAATTAAAAACAACGGACTTAAAAACAGAATTAAAAGCGCATCCTTGAAATTATTTTTTTTTACGAAATAGGAGAAATTAGCATTAAAAAAAATCACACCAAAACGTAATGTGCAGCCGTAGTACAAACGGGAGGTGCTGAAGATGCTTTATGATTTAAAAACGTTATGCGTATTTCGATATGAAATACATTAAAATGTTAGAAGTATTTGCTAGCCTGTGTTTGAGTGAATCCTCTGTGTTGTGTGTGTGTGTGTCCCTTCTGTCTTTGCATTAACATCATCCCCTGTATGTTATACCAGCAGCATTTACCTAATATGCAGCATTCTCGCAAATGCTATTTCTGTAAATGGAGAATTTTATGCAGAGATATTTATACAATTTTTGCTTTAAATAAAAACATTAAGTTTTTTCTATGTGAATGTATATTAAATACATAGGTGACATTATAGGTGTAGAACACACTGATGTGCTCTTTCGTTTGTGGCTTGGCGTGATTCTCGGAAGCGTCCTCTGTGAGCAGGCAGGTGCGTGTCTCCTGTCCTTGCTGACCCTGGTGGTACTCCGCTGCCCTTTGAGGGCTCGATGGCTCTCGCGGCCCGTCCCGCATCGCCACTCTCTTCCAGGCCTTTGTTTAGTGAATCACAGGTATATTTCGGTTGGTCCCCTGCATGGAGGTAACGTGTGGTGATGAGATGTTTAGGATTTATCCTGGATGGGCGGCTTTGATGCTTTCGGCGGCCCGGTGGACGGCCTTATGGCCTCTCCTGCCTCATTTCCACGGCGTCTCCGCCATCGTCTCTGTTTGGAGCCTTTTCACCTGTCAGCCACTTGCACCTTAAACAGCGGCAGCTTTTGTTTCCATAAATATGTGAATTAGTTTCTTGTGAATAATTAATATGTCCATCGATTAGCTGCCCGTATCATAACAAACTATTAGAGCTGGTGTGTCACGCTTCGTAGAATTGGCCTGTGGGTGTCCGTTACTTAATATTATACAAAACATTGATCACAGAATCATTTTATTTCTGTGCTCATTTTTCTAGATGCATTTAAAATCTTTTCCTTATCTTGCATTGTACCTGATATAAAGAAGGAAAACACATCAGAAAATAAATGACTAAATTAAATGTATTTTCTTTTTTTTTTTTTTATATAGATTTTTGAGGCATGCAACCCCCCCCCCCCCCCAGTGAATGTCAGTGCTGCGGCTGTTGCATGTCGCTTTCGGTGTCTCGGACCGCGGTGGTTTCTGACGGCGATGTAACTGTGGGACGCGTTCGCTGATTGTCCTGACCAGCTTTTCTGAGGAGTGGGCTGCAGTTTTCATGCATATTTCTGAATTGTGACTAAAATTAAACCATTTCTTTACTTCCTTTGCTGGCTGTCTACAGGCTGCGTTTTAGGTGGGTTCCATTTGGCTGCTTTGCCATATTCTTACTACACAGTAATTGCATAGTGATTTTTTTCCCTTCATGGTTGCGGGGGGGCGTGTAATTAGTCTGACCTCAGAGGGCTGTAACAACAGTTTGTTTTTCCAAGTCTCAAGTGCTTTACAATTTGGTATCATTTAGCAATTTGACATGAAGTCGTGTTATGGGTGATATGCCCCCCCCCCCCCCAATAGGTGGACGTGGGCCTTGCTCAGCCAGCAGCTCTAAATCTGTTACACAAACAGAGCGTGGGGGTGAAAATCGCACCTCTGTCATGTCAGTCTGGGGAGGAAAGTGGGGCCCCTGCCTGTTAGTGGGGGGGGGGGGTTGGGGTAGGGGGACAGAACCCCATACCCCCTCCCCCAAGCTTGCAGTGGCTTTAGGTTCAAGTTTGGACTCCATCATGTAATTATGAGAGTGGAAATTCCCCTAAGTGCACGTCCTAATTTAGAGTTTAAACAAATGCTTCCGAGACTGAGGGCAAGGCAGCCACAGACGGAACAATAGATCGAGTATGAGTACCTTCTTATTTTGCTGTCTCGCTGCTGTTTCTGCCACGAATAGACAGTCAGCGAGCGCGGCTGCCTCCTAAATATTAAACACTTTGGCAGGATGTGCACGGGCTCCTGGTCATGAGGCGACCCAGCCCCCCGGCCTTTTGTGTGAGCCTGCAGATATCTTGTCTTTTGTCCGCTCATAATTGACTAGGATGAGATCTTTTCCTCTTTTAATTCAGCAGGACAAATGTAACAATAGATTATGATATGAGTGATGTACAGGACTGTTATGCCGGGGAGGTGTAGCAGGGGGTGTAGGGGTATTTTGGAAGGGCCCACACCTTATCACATTGGCTTTACATGTTAATGGCTCCTAATCGCTGTCCCCAGGGGTTTAATGGCGTGACGCTCTGCTCTTGCTACAAAATATGTGCAGTTTGTTTAAAGAGTTAGCATCCCTTTGTTTTGCAAATCGCTTTTGTTTACAGCGTATGGCCAGAGTCTTTCAGTCACTAGTTGGACATTTGCTCTCTTTCCTCTCACGGCCTCCATTTTTCATTGTGCTTCCACACAAAGGAAAAATGTTCCTCATGTTTTGTACGTTTTGATAAACAGTCATAAAACGACAATCTGTTTTGGATTTGGGGGGAGTTGGGGTCGGGAATAAAGTTTGGCACCATTAAAATAAATGCGAGGCCTGTGAGGCATTAGCACAACGCGATGTGGCCCAGAGCTTAATTAGTCCAAACTGTAATTGTTCATGGTCTGCCAGCAGAAGTAATGTTCAGGAAAAGTGCAGTTGCACTAAATCGGCCCACAGTTTTTAAAACAATAAATCACTTGCATATTTGTGCCATGATTCAGAAGGAGTCCGGGCCTCTCCCATCTCCACATGTGGTAAATTGTAAAGTCAATGAATTGCAGATGTAGGGAATACAGTGAGGTTTTGTGAGTGCCTGGTGAATGAATGCAGAAGATTCACGCTGTAAATATTTACAGACATCACCAGACTTTTGTTTTTTTATATAGAAGGCAGGGGACAGTGCAGCTCGAACGTGCAGAAGTTGGTCATCATTGATCGGGGGGGAATTCAGCTGGGAATAAGATGCTTAATGTAATACATGCTTATGTGAACCTCTTGCAGAATGTGTCTGTTGTTTGGGTTTAAGTCATATTCTTACTGATAGCTAAAGTGACATTTATCTAGTGTTTGTTCTGCGTACAGATTTACATTTTGTTTGCTGGACATTTCCCCCAAAAAACGTGACATGGGGACATTTCATTCTAATTGCAGCTCCAGTCAGTCATGTTATCCTAATTGCAGAGGGACGTCCCCCAATCCTTGTGCAGAGGAATCGCGTTCAGACATGCTCTTTTACAATGGCCTTTCTGTATGTGTCTGAACAAGCACACACGTGTGTCTACGTGCACATGAACGCCTCATGAGCTGTAGTGCTGAGGTATATGAAACAGTGCCCACCCCCCAAAAAGGTGTGTGGAACAGAGAACAGGTTGCATAGCTCGCTGTGCCTCAGCCGTGGGGCCTGGGCCCTGTTGATGAGCCCTTGGTCGCTTGGCTAGCTGTGCCTCGGCCGTGAGGCCTGGGCCCCGCTGATGAGCCCATGGTTGCACGGTTCCCTGTGCCTCGGCCGTGGGGCCTGGGCCCCGCTGATGAGCCCATGGTTGCACGGCTCCCTGTGCCTCGGCCTTGGGGCTGGGCCCCGCTGATGAGCCCATGGTCGCACGGCTAGCTGAGCCTCGGCCGTGGGGCCTGGGCCCCGTTGATGAGCCCATTGTCGCATGGCTAGCTGTGCCTCGGCTGTGGGGCCTGGGCCCCGCTGATGAGCCCATGGTTGCACGGTTCCCTGTGCCTCGGCCGTGGGGCCTGGGCCCCGCTGATGAGCCCATGGTTGCACGGCTCCCTGTGCCTCGGCCGTGGGGCCTGGGCCCCGCTGATGAGCCCATGGTCGCACGGCTCACTCCATGCA